ATAGTCTTAAATTAGAGGGGCAAAGGTATAAAAATAATATCAGTAAGTATTACTTTACAGAGAGAGTAGTGGATGCACGGAATGGCCTTCTAGCTGAAGTGGTAGAGGTTAACACAGTGAGGGAATTTAAGCAAGCGGGGGATAGGCATAAGGCTATCCTAGACTTAAGATAAGGCCAGGGACTAGTGAAAGTATTTATAAAATTCGGCAGACTAGTTGGGCCAAACGGTTCTTATCTGCCATTGCATTCTGTTTCTATGTTTCTATAAATCAAAAAGATGAACTTTGCATTTAAACCAAAATAAATTAATGTAATCAATGTACGGATCCAACACACCTCTTGTTTAGTCAATGTGCATACTAGATCTCCCCTTCTTCATGTCTTCTTTACCAACTAAATAGTTTTATATCTAATAAACTTGGATCCCTTTTGTGCATCTTCGCACAATGATCCAACAAGAACTAAAAAAAAACATACAAAGCAGGAAAAATTAGAGCTTTAGGGGTATAAAATATATGTGTGGGTTCATTTCTTGCTTTGATTTTTAATATGCAGAAATCAGAGTGGGTGGTGGGTTGTATGTGAATAATCTCCTTATTAGATCTTATTCAAGTGAAGGAGTGTTGGGGAAAATATTATGATTATATATATATCTGTTTAATATGTGCTTGATTAAGTCTGTGTGTATGGGAGATCAGGAATTATCTTCAAAGGGAGTTTCTGTTTAGATAGTTGGAAAGATACAGCACCTGAACGGCACAGCTACATACTTGGGAATGTTTATCACATTTACATATCAACTAGTCTTCAGGGGAGTCTCTATCTAAGAAAACAGTTAGGTTAGAGGCAAGGGGATGGCTGGGAGAGTCCACACATAAATAAAATAACAGGATAGACAACACTTTGGGCCTTGAGAAAGTAAATTACATTTACATGTCAATTGAGCTGAGGAATTGGCTATTTACAACATTGGGAACCAATTCCTTTAACAATAGAAGATACTGACATCATATTGGACTAGGTTGGTAAGACACGCTGCACACAACATCTCACAGCACATACACAATGTAGCAGATATTATTAGATAGAGGGAATGTGTGAGTGTTATGAATGTATTGTAACTCTGTAATACTATAACTCTGTAACATTCTTCTTCTGTAATATTTAACTGGGCGGATTCTAAGTAAAGATTTCTCTCTGGTAAGAACTATGGCGTTGGCTGTTTATTTGTAATATCGGGTAGAATACCTTAGTAGTGCTAGTCATAAATTTATCTGGACAAGAGGATAAAGATATATGATAGTTCTTGGAAGAGGTGACACAGGGATATTACATTCACTATTAATTCACAACGCAGACTGGATTTCTCTCAGAAGGAATACCAATTGGAAGTATTGGTGGTGAGAGAAGAATTATACAACAATTATGTTTTCATCTGCATGTGGTTAGTTGAAATATACATGTGTATAGTTGAAATATCTCAGCACGGAATGTAGCGGACTCCCCGGTAACCCGACCAGTTACCTCCACTAATTCCCTTCCTTTAGCCGTTCAGAAACCCTTACAACTAGCAGGCATCCATTTTCCCCCAGTAACTGGACGCCACACAGTTCTATAGGTAAAACACTGCCTGACTCTGTTTATTTTATTACACATGGTTTAACAGACACAGACCCCTACATTGGGTCTCCAAGACACAACAATAGGGTTTTCAATCCAAACAAGCTGAAGGGGGAGGGCGGAAGGACACAGCATCTAGGTTAAACTGGGCTGGCAGTGTTTTTGTGGCAACATCCTGCTGTGACAGGAAAAGGGAGGGGGAAGGAGGAGAGATGTAGGCAGACCAGACATTCACAAAAGGAAGGGGGAGGGGGAGAGGCACAGAGCAATCCACTTACTCTACTTTACAGAGCTGCTGCATACACAGGCACAATACACGAAAGGCATAGAAATAAATGGGAATACACAGAGGGACCACACAATACACGGGGAAAACACACAAATAAGAAGGGTGCATGGTACTAAGTGAAGGCGATCTGTCACAGAGGACTGAGTGGGGTTTTAACATTTATCTCTTTGAAAAAGGAATGGAACCAAATAAGGCAGGTGTTACCTATGTCTTGGCTTTAAATTTAAATAAAAACTTTTGTGGCTTTTTATATCAAATGCTTTTGCAAAGACTTGGACAAATAGCTCCAATGATAAGGTCTGAAATACTAGTCCTTTTTGTATCCTTACCTGTATGTCCACATTTGTTTATTTACTCAACCTTAAAATATAACATTGTGCGAACATGCCAATATGATTTTGAAGAAAGTATTGCAAAAGGTTTTTATCACCTATCCATCTATCTGTGTGTTCCTCATGCATGATAAATCATTTTTTTTTTTTAAAGAAAATTAAAATGGCATAAATTGCATATTTAAATTATTGTTTTTTTATGTGTTTACCAATGATTATAGCATCTTACCAGTGGAAAAGTTAATGACTGTCATTTAGCTGTTTTTTTTTAAATTAGGGCTACATATGAGATGTACGTGCACAGCTCCAAGTAAATGTGTAATAAAGAAAAAGATGGAGGCTTGTTTACACTTATTTAAAAGATTCAACTGTATGGAGTTAAGGAATGCACTATTGTGAACAGCAATGTACTTTTTTTTTGTAAAATATTCAGTAGAAGAAAACAAATGAATCATCACAGGGAAACAGCAACTGCTTTTGTTTTTTGATTATATCGTACTTAGCCTGTTGTTATTTAACACAGCTACCAAGACAAAGGTTCTATCCTAAAATATCTGATATTTCAACTTTTTACTATCTTTCTTTTTTCACACTTTTTGGATTGCCTAATGTGTTTTTTACATCATCCATTTCCTGTGCTATTTCCTAGAGTGTAGAGGCTTGTAAAGAGCTACAAAAATGGGCACCTCTACTGAAAAGGTCCTTATAGACCCATAGCTCTTTTGAGATGAATACAAAGTGAAAACTCTCTTCAGTACCTTAGTAATTCAGCAAAATTGGTACTTTTTGTGAAAGCTCTTCTAAACGTCTTTCCTATAACCACTGTTTTTGTGCAGGATAGGTAACTAAACAAATATTAAAATCTCACTTTGTAACCATATTTCCATCTATAGATTTTTTTTTAAATTCTTCCTATGGATTTCTAAGCATAGCAAACCCTCTAAATATGAATGTATTATGCTTTATAATACTTTATAATGTGTTAGGCTTGCTTGTATGTATGATGATTTTGATGTAACATGATCCCCAGTCTTTTTCATGGAGTTCCATATGTCTTCTAGTCATCTTAATTATATTTACACCCACTCGGGTTTTGCAAATGCAGAAAGAGCGATGCTTTCAGCTATAATGCTTAATCATTCAGGCCATGTGCAGTATCCCTACAGATATTCTCTGTTCATATAACTAAGATTAAAAAGTTATTAAAAAAAAAAACTAGAAAGATAATGGGCGAAGGTAAACATAATGCATGTGCCAATGTACACTTAAAAAAATATAAGTAGGAGGTTTAATCAGCATTACTATTTCACACCATCCACACAACTACTTTCGAATAGGACAATGTTTCATATACATGTTGCCTTATGTGCTCCCTTTTGAGCCAGTTTTACCTAGGCTGTCATGATGTAAATAGTATTATATTTCTGCTGATAATAAGATAATAAGATAAAATGGTTTGGATTATAATTTAGTAAAGTTAGTAGAATTTTACATTCTCGAAAATGAAGTGCACATAAAATGTTTACTTAAAAATAAAATAAAACAACAAATAAAAAAATAGACAAAGTTCACTATAGCAGATCTGTTTTCACTAACCTAGAAAACAATCTAAAAATAAAAAAACATGAGGCACTTCACTTGAATCCAAATTTGTTGCTAGATTGTTAAAATGTGTCATATGACATAAATTATTTATATAGGCACATTATGTGAAAGATCATTGAAAACATGTTAGGATTTTTAATCAAATTTTTGGCTTAGATTTAAGCTTCTTACTTAATGCAATGTTTCCAAAGGCTATGAGCAAAGATGAAAAGAAAGATTTATATTTTGTTCCTTTTCCCTATTTCTTTTTTTCTTCAGCAGGTATGCATTATTTAAAGGAACAAAATACCATCCCATTAATTAATCTGTACCTGCTGCCTACTGAATTAATGTATTTAGCATAAACGTTAAACATATTCACTGGCAATAAATACAACATATTTCTTTAATGCAGTATTATATTATGGTTTTGTCAATATATTTTTCAACTGGCTATGACAAGTGCAACCCTGAAAACATATTAGTATGTATTAACATAATGGCATCCTTGTTTGGTAATTGAGTAAATGTTTACTATGAATTGAGTAGAGCAGTGGAATCTAAAATGTTTAACAGACTTGTGCACAGCAGAAAAATAGTTTCAGTGAATTAAAAGTGAATTTAAAATTTTACGCCAATGTAGCCAAACTGGAGGCATAGCTGACTAGGAGAATTTTTTGTTTGTTTTTTTTGTGCACATTATAACAGACACGCTTACAGTGTCAAGACAGCACTAGAAAGCTGAGAAAAACATGTTTAAACATAGGCATGACATGTGAGATGACTGCACATTTTTAGAAAGTTTAAGGAACATGTGTAATGAAGGAGTTAAACAAGCAAGGTATGCTATATATGGCAGAACTTTTCAGACATGACAGTATTGAGAGGTGTAAAATATGCTAAATAAGATTAATAAGCAAAATTATTGAGGCATATTCAAAACTAGAGTGCAAGATGTTTGTAAAACTACAGAATTTGTGTTAATCTGCTATACAGAGATCAAAGGGGGTCTGGGGCAGAGAGGCTGCAATGGATTAGTAAGCAAATAGTGCTCTTCAGGATAAATTCTAGTCCCAGGATCTGTTCATGCTGTTCACCCCACGCCATCTCCAGTGGCTGAATTATTCAGTCCCGTGTTGAGGCTGGGAAAAGGCCTGAGCAGAGTGTCACCTAGTCATGTGGCAGCCGCAATGTTCTGTTTGCCGGCTCTTTGAACTCGAGTGAGGGAGTGCTGCTCATCTACGTAGGTCATGGGGTTCTCTCCTCTCCGCTGTCGCCTTAGCCACTGTGGTGTTAGTACCACTGACTTCTCTGGCTCCCACCACTCCGATGCTGCACAGAGCCGATCTGAGCGTGTTAGCAGCTTGCCACCGTGAAGTGTGGGATCATGGTTGCTTGTAGGAGTCGTTGCGGCACATGCAGCTGCCATTTTAGGTAAGCAGAGTGACACTGCTTCCTCCTGCCTGTGTCCATCCAGCAGGGCTTGTGTGTGTACGTCCAGGCTTGGAAGAGGTGCCATGGTGGCACCTTGGTCGGTCCGAGGTGGGGGGAGGATCTGCGGTGTCCTGTAGGACATCAACTGCTAGGCCGCAAGTTGGACCTGCCTCTGCGATTGTGTCCGGAGAGTCCATGATGCCCCAGCCCCATTCCCACTGAGTGCTCCGTGGGGAGAGTAAGGGAGTTACCTGTGTAACTCAGTTGTGTTGCGGAAAATAAAGCTGAAAGTCGGCCATTTGATCGGAGCTCTGGGTGGATGTGACTTCCCCGCTTGGCGGTCAAGCTCCGCCCCTGGAGAATTTTTTTAATTCAGCTATTTTGGACTTAAATTTGAAATTCACTTGGTATGCAATGTGCATTCTCATTTTAGTGAATAATCTTCTCAGAGACAGCAGAATTTTGGGCATATGGGGGTTTGACTCAGACAAATTTTGTTCTCAAATTTTGGGAACAAAATTAGGCATCCAAAAAATCCAGAAAATGGTGCCTGTCACTGTATTGAAATATTGCCTAACTACCTAGCCTAATGGCTAAACATATTCAGTAATTTTTGCAGGTTTCCAAATGTGGCTATGTCTGATGTTTTCTTGTACCTATTCTGTCCTTGACTAGTATCTTTGCACAGAGAAGAGATTGGGGGTACACCCGAAAGATGCATTATGCAAGAAAGGTGCTGCCGCAGTGACCAAAATTCATACTGAAAAAACTAGTTAGGGCGCACTCAGACTTGTAAAAATTCATAACTAAGAAGGCTACTATAAAACGCCTATCTAAGAGAATAAATATGGGGATTTAGTTCCACCATATGGCCATATGATGTTAAGGCCACCACTGCTTCAAAGTACCCCAATGTCAGTGGGTCCTACGCTAATTAAAAAATGTGGGAGACAAATTAAATAGTACTGGTGCTAAAAACAAGCTACAGTGTATTGAATTAATTTCTTTGTAAGAGCAAAGTGAGTATACAAATAAAGAGTGTTAAAAGCAATTAAAAACAGTGTAACAAGTAAACAATTAAAGTGTTGGTGCTTAAATTAGTATACTCACATTTGCAGATAACATTTGTGCTGCATGAAGAAAATAATAAAAGTGACATGACTATAAAACTCCTCCTATTTATACACACACCTGTGGCCACCTCTAAAGAGACTAGTATCTTGACTATTCTCTTGTTTTTGCATTGCTCCCAGCTAATGTAAGGATTGGTAAAATCTGATATTAATGATAAGATGTTGGTGCAAGTGCTGGGTGATGAATCATCTGTACATTGTGACATTGTCAGACTCAAGCAAACACCCAGCAAAATATTATAGATACCAAAAATGGATTGCACTGCAATGAATTTATTTAGTAATTCTGCTGTGTGATGGTTCAGAAATCAGAAATTCATATGATATATATACAGTGCCTTGTAAAAGTATTCACCCTCCTTGGCATTTTTCGTGTTTTGTTGCCTCACAACCTAAAATTAACATGGATTGTTTGAGTATTTGCATCATTTAATTTACAGAACATGCCCACAACTTTGAAGATTTTTTATTTTTATTTTTTATTGTGAAGCAAACAACAAATAGGACAAAATAACAGAAAAAGTCAATGTGCATAACTATTCACCCCCCTAAAATCAATACATTGTAGAGCCACCTTGCGGCAATCACAGCTCCAAGTCACTTTGGATAAGTCTCTATGAGCTTGCCACATCTTACCACTGGGATTTTTGCCCATTCATCCTTGCAAAACTGCTCCAGCTCCTTCAAGTTGAATGGTTTGTGCTTGTGAACAGCAATCTTTAAGTCTGACCACAGATTTTCTATTGGATTGAGGTCTGGGCTTTGAATAGGCCATTCCAACATATTTACATGTTTCCCCTTAAAACCACTCAAGTGTTGCTTTAGCAGTGTGTTTGGGGTCATTGTCCTGCTGGAAGGTGAACCTCCGTCCTAGCCTCAAACCACGCACAGAGTGGTACAGGTTTTGCTCAAGAATATCCCTGTATTTAGCACCATTCATCTTTACCTCAACTCTGACCAGTTTCCCAGTCCTGGCTGCTGAAAAACATTGTGTTCTTTGGGTGATGTGATATATTGGGTTTGCGCTAGACATAGTGTCTTCTTTGAAGGCCGAAAAGTTTAATTTTAGTCTCATCAGACTAGTCTCCATACATTTTGGGAGTCTCCCACATGCCTATTCACAAACTCAAAATGTGCCATTTTGTTTTTTGCTGAAAGTAATGGTTTTCTTCTGGCCACTCTGCCATAAAGTCCAACTCTATGGAGTGTACGGCTTATTGTCGTCCTATGTACAGATACTCCAGTCTCTGCTGTTGAACCCTGCAGCTCCTCCAGGGTTACGTTAGGTCTCTGTGCTGCCTCTCTGATTAATGCCCTCCTTGCCCGGTCCGTGAGTTTGGTGGGCGGCCGTCTCTTGGCAGGTTTGCTGTTGTGCCATGTTCTTTCCATTTGGTTATGATAGATTTGATGGTGCTCCTGGGAGATTTGGATGTTTTTTTATAACCTAACCCTAACTTGTACTTCTCAACAACATTGTCCCTTACTTGTTTGGAGAGTTCCTTGGTCTTCATGGCAGTGTTTGGTTAGTGGTGCCTCTTGCTTAGATGTTGCAGCATCTGGGGCCTTTCAAAAAGGTGTGTATATGTAATGACAGATCATGTGACATTTAGATTGCACTCAGGTGGACATCATTTCACTAATTATGTAGCTTCTGAAGGTAATTGGTTGCACCAGAGCTTTTTATGGGCTTCATAGTAAAGGGGGTAAATACATACGTACATGCCAATTTTCTGTTTTCTATTTCTAAAAAAATAGTTTTATGTATATATTTTTCTCATTTCACTTCACCAACTTAGACTATTGTGTTCTGATCCATCATATAAAATTCAGATTAATAAAACATTGAACTTAAGTAAGAAAATAGGTAAAAAGTCAAGGGGGTTAATACTTTTGCAAGGCACTGTATGTAGTAGATAAGTGTCAGAGCAGGTAAAGAAAAAAAAGGTCCACGTGTGGGCATTATTTTCCCACTTAACATGTAAATGCTTCCATTATGCCAGATCCACATCCTGGACAAAAGTACCTGAAATAACAAGAAACACGTCAACGTTTCCCTCCTTTGTGACCCCCTCTAGAAATTGTGTTCTAATGTATTTTTATTACTTTGTGTTCAATAAAGAACATCTCTTAACTGGCAAGATTGAGTCTGATATTTTTGATCCGCATGTGGACTCAGCGAGCATTTACAAGTCATACAATCACATAATTGGCCCACATTTGAACAAATTTAAGTTCACAACTAAAGGTATCTCCAAGTTTAATGTTTAATGCATAGTAAATTACTTATCATACGTCTAATCATGTTTTCAACTGGCTGCTTCTTCTTTGTCTGTAGCCAAAATATATACATATTTGAATTTTTCTATGTCAATTAACCACATACCCTTTTTTCCATATGTAGTTGTTGTAATACAAATATTTATTCAAGACTATAATGTATACCTAAAAAAAAATCTGATTAGATTTCTTAAAATATCAAGTTTTTTTTGTTGTTTCTTCAATATTACAACCCCCTCAAATATTTCATTTGTTTTAGCTTATATGCTAGTTATTTTGTATCCCAAATTTAATTTGATGGGCCATTCTCTCATTATAATAATATTGTTCTTAATTTCCACCTAATCTATATCTACCAGATCATCCAAACTGAAACACAGTGAAATGCCAGTATACTCATTGTCGTGTTTTCAACAATAATATATAGAGCTGCAATCTGTAGTTTATCTTGGTTTTGTTTTTACTTTTTTATTCTATTCTTTCATACACTAAATGCCATATATGCTTGTAACGGCACCCCAGGTAGGTGAAGAGGTTAACGCTGCCAAAGCTGTTCATTTTGCTGAATAAAAAGTCAGCTACCGAACACTCCTAAGCGATTAACAGGAACCATACAAATTATCCCCCCAAGCACGAGACGAGGCTCCATGTTGAGGGTCAAGCAGGATCTATTTAATGGTGGCTACATGTCAGCCTTTTATGCAGGTCTTCCAGCAACGGACACTCCCATAGGGACCTTGCGGAAGACTGAGACATTTTTACAGTAACCATTTACATGTAGTTACAGAATGCAAACACTCCCACACAAACAGTACAACTCCTCCTCTCTATCCTGGAGATAACTGGGTTAAGTGCTTGAAGTAACTCAATTACTTCCAGGGATAGGGAATATCCTCCATTTTACAATAACAGTAAAAACACATAAAAATAAAAAAGTCTTATTTTACCGAACGGAACCCCCACGTTCGACATATCCCCAGATAGCTTGGATCTGAGCGCTCAATATAGCCAAACAGCGCTCAGATCCCATACATACAGTCAAAACATGGATTCAGCTATCTGGGGCAGTTCCGTTCATGGATTGTCAATATACCAAATGGCACGGCGTTCGTATGAACCAGGACGATGAGATGGATGGTTGATGATCTCAGCGGTGTTCATGGGAAACAGTGTCCGAAATTAGTTCCATGTATTTTTCGAACGAACACCACTGGGCGTTCGACTGTCCAAGATGGCCACCGCCATATGTTCATTCATATGAACGACGACCACCCAGCTGACCATTCAGGAGTTGGAAGTAGCTGTGGTTAACAAGCAGCACACTTCCCTACTGGGTGGCCCGCCATTCGGTAGTTCATTTGTCTCTTAGGGATTATAATCAGGAAACACACGAACAACCGATTGGCAAACATACAGACGAAATAGTTTAAAATAACAATCCAGAGGCAGATGGTTGCTCCCCATTTTTGCTCCTAATTTGCTTTTTTCAATATTTTTTCCTTTTTTTTTTTGTATCATGGTTATACACATATTGTACTTTCCCTGCATACATTTTATTCAGAATATTTATGGATTTTTCTTGAAATATACATTTAAAAATAAATAAATAAATAAATAAATATGTGTATAAGTGTATAGGGTACATGAAAATGCTTATAAATCAATATTGTAGAAATGACTTGATATGTGTAATTGAAAGAGAACAAGTTCAACCTGCGTGACCCCACATATG